AGGGTGGGGAGCTCAGTGGTCACCGGGAGTCTGGCCCTCTGACAGAGTGGAAAGGACTCTCCTTCCCAGGATCCTCTTTTTGCCAGGGTCCCCCAGATGGATCGGTGGGGATCAGCTGTTGCTGGGGATGGGCCAGGTGCCCTCAAAGGAAAGGGGGATGGTGCCAACGTGTGTCGCTGAGCCTGGGCAGGGGGCAAAAACTCAGAACAGGAGTCAACAGAACTTGAGGGCTTAAACCCCCCAGACCCCTGGCTCTGGCTCGCATTGGCCTCCACTGACCACCTACACAAGGCCAACAGCCTCCCCCACTGACCCCAGCCTCTTGTCTGAGTCCCGACTTCCTGAGAGGAGGGAGCTGGGTCCGTCATCACCTGAGGCGTCTGCTGCCCAAATTAACCCGAGCCAGCCCAAGCCACGCCGACACAGAAACGCGCCATGGCATGGACAGCTGGAGTACATCCCTAACAGCTGTCCATGCTGTGAGTGGAAAAGAAGCCGGCCCCTGCCCCAGCTGACCCTGGCTGGCATCCGTAGGCATCACTGGCCTCTCAAAGGATCTTCCCCTTCCTCCGCCGAAATGACCTCTGTGGTCAATAGGGCTAATGGTTTGCAAAGTGCTGGGTGGGTAGGAAAGGTGATGGGGCGGAGAGGGTGTGGGAGGGAGTGTGCTCGCCTGGCACGTGGACCCCCCCTACCGGGTTGGACCCCTGAACCCTGTCGGGTGCCCTGAGCACAGAATCAGGAGTAAACTGTGAGCTCCCCAAAATGTAATCATACTTAAAAAAATTTTTAAGATAGTAGTGTTTTATCTGGCCATGTATAGAGTGATGTCACAACCCCAGGAGAAGTGAACAGCCTAGAAGCTCGTTGGGGTGAAGCAAGTGTTGCTGTATCTACATATTAGGGGTGAGGGCAGTGCTGGGAATCGGACCCAAGGCCTGGCCTGTGCACGGCCCATGCCGCAGCTTGACACCTCAGCCCTCAGGACTCCAGCTGCCTCAACAGCTGTGCGTCCCCACACACCTTGGACAGGAGCCGCTGGCCCTGCCCACACAGAATGAGATCCTGCTGCCATGGGAAGACAAGGGGCAGTGAACAGCTCTCTCCTCCTCCCCACATCCGCCCTGTCTCCCTGCCCCACCCCAGAGGTGGTCAGCGTCCACCCGTTCTTCTTCCTTTGTCTGTCTCTCAATTTCCTGTCCCTGTGGGTGAAACCATCCAGTTCTTGCCGTTTTCCCTCTGACCCAGTTGTGCCCAGCCACCTCCCCCCACCCCCCGACCTTCCAGCTGTGGCATCACCCTCCCCTGCCCTTTCCCAGGAGCGAGCATGAGACCCTGCTGTCCACATGCCTCAACCCTGCACATGGCCCTGTGGCTGGCGTGGTCTCTTCCTGCTGCTGTGTTCAGACACTCAGATCCGTGGCCCAGGCCCTGTGGCTCTGTCCAGGTGCTGGAGAAAACACCGTCGCATTTTCCAAAACTACTTGTACTGCTGGATGTTCCCAGTTTTGCCTCTTTTTTTTTCTCTCCCTCATGGTGCCAGAGATCAGACTTAGGGGATCCCCGGTGCAAGTGCTGCACGGCTGAGCCGCAGGAGTCCTGAGGGGGCCACTTGAACCCTGCGCCATGGATCTGGGCGTCCTGGGGGGTGCTTGGCCATGTAGTGTACATGTGAGTGCAGAGAAGGGCAAGGCCCAAGCCAGAGCTGGGAACTGAGGATCAGACCCCCAAAGGCGCATTTGGGGGTCACCATGTTGCCAGAAAAGTCTCCCATGGATGCTGACCTCAGGGGTCAGCGTGTCCAGCTGATCCTTCCCCCTTGTGCCTCGTGCAAAGTTCGTTTCCCGCGGGCAGACTTGCGTGTGATCAGGGGGTGCTTTCTCATGAAGAGGGTTGATTTCCAGTGGGTGCTGAGAAGCGCTGGTGGGCCACGAGTCTGAAGGGCTCAGGTCTGAGTGACGGTCACCCCCAGGGTCACTCAGGGTCCATGAGACAGTGAAGGGGCAGAGTCTGAGGGTCGGGTCAGCTCCCTTTGTGTCCCACACACCCCCGAGACCCCTCCCCACCTGTCACCGAGTCCCCACGCTGCCGTCACACCGGCCTCCCCCTGCATCTCAGGGGCAGCCCCCTTGCCCACCTCAGCCTTGTTCCAGGAGCCCCGCAGGAAGCTCACTGCTGAGGACGAGCCCAAGGTCTGGGACCTGGGCCCAGCCACAAGGGTGCTGTCCTGCCGGGGAAACTGGGCCCCTTGCAAGCTGCCCAGAGCCATCCAGGCTGCGCCCTTGCCTCTCACCAGTGCTCCACCCACGGTTCTGCTTACCGGTTCCCAGTGCTCGCTTGGCTGACCTGCGGGTCACTGCTCTTTTCTGGGCACCCGGGGCCAGGGCCATGTCCCCTCCCCACACTGAGACTGCCTCTCCAGCCTGGACTCCACCCTGGTCCCCAGACCATGAACTCTCCCCCAACTCTAGTCTTGGCTCTTTGTCGGAGCCTTGGCCCCACGCTGCCCGGTGCCCAGCAGGGGCAGGAGAGAAATTTCTGGAGTTCCTGGCTGTCGGGAGCTTGCAGACCCCAGGCTCCTGCTGGTCTGTCTTCCTCCCCGCACCACGCAAGTCAGGCCCACTTGGTGTTTTTCTGCGGAAAGCTGCAACTCAGTTTTCCTGTTTCCAATTATTCTGTGATTTGAAGCGAGTGATGCCTATGGCTTTTCTGGGAGGGGTGGGAGGAGGGGCGCCTTTTTAAAAAGGAGAAAAAAATCATCGCTCGTTCATTGGATGGGTCAGTCTCCAACATGGGCTTCAGTCGGCAAGAGCCAGAGAAGGGAAAGTCCCACCTGGGACTCTTGGAGGACCCCCAGGTTCGGGCCCCCTCAGGACACGTCCCCGGGACTGGTGTTCTTCAGGCCACAGAGCACTTTGTCCTGAGTCATGGGCCCAGCACGTGTAGGGTTTTACCTGCCTCATCTCAGTGGGCTGGGGTGAAGCGGAGCCAGACTTGACAGGGTCCCACGTTTCTTCTCCAGACAAGGCTGCTGTCCCAGGGAGGGCGGAAAGTGCCCTGGGAGGTTGCACAGGCTCTCCCTAGCTCCCGGGAGTGGGCTCTTATTCTGAAAAGCGGGGCTCCCATGCCAATGCCAGGGTGTGTCGGGGTGGGATAGTAAGCCCCCACGCTCCATCCACACTACTCCCGAGAGGTCCAAGCCCCAGAGTTATCCTCCTCGGCTTGCAAAGGGCTCTGAGCTCCCTCCGCATGGGCCCTTCCCATCAGTGGGGTCTCAGGACCCCCAAGAGCTCCCCTAGGGTCCGTGTGCTGTCCACCTTGGTGAACCCCTCCCTCCCTCTCTCCCTGCACTTTCCTAGGCCTGTGTGGCCTCAGCCCCGTGCTCTGGAGCCCAGGCTGGCAGGGGGGACCCTCCCATTCCTTCTCAGTTGCTTTGTGAGGCCAAGCTACTATAAGTGTGGAAACGGACAGACTCCATGCCAGGCGGGGCCTTGAGTCACATGTGAAGGTTTGTGTGCAGAACCCCGGGTGCTTCCGCAGTCTTGGCTGTTTGATGAGCAGCTCTAGGAATGTGGCGTGAGCATCCATGTCTGGGCTCACACGGGTTCCCTGCTAGACCCTCCCCATGCTCAGCTGCTGCTGGCCTCTGGCTACTTCTGCCTCTCCAAGTCCTTTGGGTCCCTGGCCTGTTGCTGATGCCCTAAGGTGTCTGGGATGTCCCAGCTGCGGCTTGAACTGTGGCCCAGCCTTTGTGGTCCCCTTGGCTCTGTGGTATTAGGCACAGCTGTGTGTGGGGGGGGGGGGGGAGGGGGGAGTGGGTAGATGGGTGAGTGCAGACCCTGCTGTTCAGCCATCTGTGGGCACAAGTGTGTGGTCCGGGAGGGCCCTCACTGGCCAGAAGCACCCCGTCTCTTACTCCTCCCCACCCCAACCTGTCCCGCTGTCCATGCGTTTTGTTTGGCTGCCTTATGGGCAGGCGAGATGCCAAGGGAACCAATGAAATTAGCTGCATCTCCATGGCACAGCCATGTAGCGATGGCGAGATTGTGCTCAGGGCCTCCCCCAGGCGCTTCACTACCCAGACAAGTACCCAGATGTCATTAGCGCTAGGTGGGGGGAGGGGTCAGCCATCCTCCAGAAGGTCAAAGGTCTTGACCCCAGGGTCTTTGGTAGGGGCACTTGTGTTGCCTTGCACGCAGCCAACATGGCTGACCCAAGTTCGATTCTTCTGCACCTCTTGGAGAGCCCAGCAAGCTACCGAGAGTATCTCGCCTGCACGGCAAAGCCTGGCAAGCTACCTGTGACGTATTCGATATGCCAAACACAGTAACAAGTGTCACAATGGAGACGTTACTGGGCCCGCTTGAGCAAATCGATGAACAATGGGAGGACAGTGACAGTGGCTGGGGACATTGGTGCTGGGGAATGTGCGCTGGTGGAGTGATGGGTGTTTGATCATTGTATGACTAAAACTCAATCATGAAAGCTTGTAACTGTATCTCATGGTGATTAAATAAAAAAATTTTTAAAGTGTGGGGTTCCGTTCTGGCAAACACACGTGGGGCCTTTGTGCTGGAGACGGGGGAGCAGGTCGGCCGGCCAGGGCTGCCAGACACTCATAGCGCAATTCCAGAACCTTTGCACTTAGAAAGAGACTGTCGGGGCCATGTTCTGCCGCCTTGAGGAACTCTTCTCTGATGCCCATCGCCGTGTGTGCCTGGCCAGTCCCATCAGCATCTGTCCTGGCCCATGTTCCAGAGAGTCTGGCCCCCAGAGCAGCACCCGGGGAAGGCCCCAGTCTCCACGGTGGGCTAAGCAGAGAGACGGGCGGGGGTGAGGGCGGGGGTGAAAGGCCGGGCATCGCTCTCCCTGCCCTCGTGGACTTTGTTATCTTTAAATTGCGCCTCCTTTAAGTCGATTATGTGCTCGCCCTGGTCTCCATTATATCCAAAGCAAAGCATTCACAGACGTTTCTAAGACCTTTTTCTTTCTCTCTGTAGGTTGTTGTTTCGTAACATTTTATACAAGAAAAGCTGCACTTGAAGCCCAGAATGCACTGCACAATATTAAAACGTTACCTGGGGTGAGTCGGTTTATTTTTGTACCAAAAAATCACTTTATTGCTGTGTTAGGGGGGAGGGGGGAGGGAGGAGAACTTGATCTAAAGGTTCTAAGCTAGGGACGTGACTTTAGTCTCTGGAGGTTGACACCCCCACACCCCCGTCCGGACCCTCTGTTCACAAGGGTGGACAGCTGGCCCTTGGCCCATCGGACTTTTTCAACCTGAGTCACCCAGCTGGATGGCCAGGGTTGCCAGACAGACTAGGGGGCTGAGATTTGGGGGGTGCTGGGGGGACGCGGTGAGCGGGGGGTAATAACCCACACAAGAGAGGCAAGTGGAGACGGAAAAGCTTTTACTCACCAGGAGCGCCTTTCAGATTTCCCCTTCAGATTTTTCTTTTGAAAGGACGAAAGTGTGCCCTGCCTGGCCGCAGCGGTCCGCCTCCTAATGGCCCGAGCAGTCGGCGGTGGTTAACAAAGCAGCAGTGCCAAGGCCGCTCGGGGCTTCGTGTGGACAGAGGACAGATAATACAAAGTCGGCCGTTCCTCCCCGCTTCCTTCCCGGCACCGTCTGATGATCAATGCTGTTCGCGCGAAATGAACCAGCGCCGTCTGCGGCGGCTCCATCAGAAAGCTGTAGGGGCTCTCCAGAGGGTCCCCGCGGCTCTGTCCTCAGCTAGCCCATGGCCTCCTTGGCGGTTGGGATATTTCCCCGGTGACCTGGACGTTGTTGGTGCTGAGTTGATTCAGTCCCATGAAGCGTGTGTGGGTATTTGTGTTTGCGTGGGCTTGGTTCTTTGCTTTTTAATCCCGACGAGCAGGGGTGGTAGAGAAGGCGGGTTGAACCCAAGAAATCGAGGGAGCGTGATGTCCGCAAGTATCTGCGGGTCTCCTCTAGACTGACCCCATCCAGCTGTAGTCCGTGCCCACGGTAGAAGCATGTTTGCGCTGCTGTGTACGTGCGTGGGACACGGGCCACGCAGGGAGCAGAGCAAGCAGTGGCCTTCAGCCGTGCAAATGGCGGGATGTTGACAGGGCTAGTAGAGGCTGGACAAGGCTTCCAGGGTCGCCCAGGCTTCTGATCCCCTACACAGAATCCGTTATGAGCGTTGTTTGTGGGAGACACCAGGTTTGTTAATGCACATATGTGCAAATTAGGTGGGGGGTGTCAGGAGAATTCTCCCTCCCAGGCCAGCTCCTGTCCCCGAGCCTTGGGAACCCATCTCTGAGAAGGCAGCTGTTTCTAGTTCCACTGAGCACTATTGTCGGTGACTCATTTCAGTACGGTTCTCCCTGTTAGTGGGCCTTTTCTAGTGTGAGATGGGGTGGGGGGGCTGTAGGGGCCACGTGATGGAGAGAAGCAGCCTGTCCGCTGCATAGTCAGACCATCCTCATTTCCCTGGTCAGACCCAAAGACCCCATGGTAAGATCCCTCTCCTAAAATAAGGGCTTTTCCATAATTGCCCCCCCCCCACACACACACACACGCAGAGCTCTTTTTGTGTCTTTAAGAGCATTACCCGAGGGGCTGGAGAGATAGCACAGCCTGTAGGGCACTTGCCTTCTGCATCCTAAAGGGTCCCTGAGCCCACCAGGAGTGACTCATGAGTGAGAGCCAGGAGTGACCCCTGAGCTCCACCAGGTGTGGCCCTGAAAATAAACAACAATCAAAAAAAAGAAAGAAAAACAAATTTTAAAATGTTACCCAAGAAGATGGATTTGGTTTACACCTTCCGATAGATTCATGCCATACGTTTAGTTTATTGATGTCACGTCACATCCTATGTTAAATTAATGCCAAGTGCTCCTGGCTTGAATCCTTTTCCCCACCGTCAGAAACTCAGATCCAAGAACAGGCTTTTCTGTGAATATTCTCAGGAATATTCTGCACATTTCAAAATTAATGGGTTCGTAGCGATGATGATATCATTGATGAACACACTTCTCTTCAGGACTCCTGAGCAGGCCTGACCAGGCAGCAGCATCTGGATTTTTTAAGTTGCTTTTCTCTCATTCTTGCTCCTCTTTTCCTTCTCTCTCCCTCCCCTTTTTCTCTTTCATTCTCTTGCTTATTCCACTCTCTGTCACTCTCCACCCCTCTCTCCACCTCTCTCTCCATCTCTCTTTCCATCTCTTTCTATCTCTCCATCTGTCTCTCCATATCTCTCTCTCTCTCCATCTCTCTCTCCACATCTCCCTTTCCCTCTCCCTCTTCCCATTTAAGAATTCTGCACAAGTTTAAAGGTGGGTAGTTAGAGACCACTATAAAGGGCACCAGTTCCGGCCTTGGAAAAAAGATGGTTTGCGGCTTGTTGGGGGTTTTCTTTTGATCCAGTTCAATTTCATATGCCCAATTATTCGAGGCAGGTTAAATGGAATTCTGAAAAAGTCAGGTCTGATTTGTTGCCTGGGCGCCTTCCCCAGGCACGTGCTCTTGCTACATTTGCCATTTCAAATTAGGGAAATGGAAACAGTCCCACCTCCTGCATTCCTGAGCGGCTTGACCTGACAAACAACACCCTTCACAGCTACGACGAGGGGTAGGAAAGCGGCCGCTTCTCAGCTGAGCCCTGGGTGGACAGGAGGAAATGGGAACAGACATAAAAGATTAATGCGTATTCTTGGGGAAAAAATATTACAGGGTGCCTTGCTGTTTGATTACAAGCCTTGGAATTAGTCAACATTTCCATAATTCTAAACCAATATACACCTGTTTTCCCACTGTGATGTGAAGGCACAACTTAATTTAACGGAAGCCCCGCTGTGCTAAATCTCTCATTAAATACCAAGTGAGTTCGGTAATTTAAAGTTGTAGCAATACTATTTTAACTGGTTGCCTTCATATTATGAAATTAATAAGAAATTAATGATGCACTTTGCCATATGCCTTCAATTCCTTTCTGACTCAAAATAAAAGGGCTAAAGAAAAATGCATCAGCAGCTGACACTTTAAAGCTTTTCTGGTTGTAATCATTTTCCTGCGGATAAAGCCCATTAAAAAGGCAACTTGCTGTCTTTTTTTTTTCCCCTGCAGTGTCCAAAACTTTCCGCTCGAGACCAGATCAAAATAGCGCTATGTGTTTGTTTGGCTCGTTCGATTCTTCCTTGGCTGTTGCTGTTTAATGTCACAGAACTTTTATCACGCAACCAGACTTGATGTTTTGGGGTGATCTTTTGTTCTGGGGGAGCAGCGTGAGGGGAACCATTGTCTGGATGTGGTGGTTGTGTGTGCCCAGGGCTATGTTAAAGATCCTCTTCCCACCAGGACTGGGATTCATAGATCACAGAGCCCCCGTTTCATGGGCCGGGGGCCAATAAAGGAGAGATTTCAGCTCCGCTCCCCCCCCCCCACCACCACCATATCTTCCTGCGAGCCCAAAGCACCGTCTCGGATTTGACCCTCTGTCAGTCCGGAGCAGAAAATGGAGCTCTGAGTCCTCTCCTGCTCTCTGTTCAAAGTACCGAAGGCCACCAGCAGATTCTAGCTACAGCTGCATTTTGACTCAGACATCACTGTATGTATTCGCTTTAAAAAAAACGATTACTAACAGATCTTCCATTCCGATTCATAAACAATGTGTATCTGCTGAGAGGTCACATCAGTAATATTTCCTAATGTCATCTAGATGTATTTCCTGCCTGGTGTTAAATTTGTCTCCAGCAAACAGCCATTCAGTTTGAGTTTGTTTGTTTTGGGGTTGTTGGGGGTTTTTTTGATGCTATAATGCTACTGTGGTTTACAGAAATAAAAACCTTAGGCACGGATGATATTTCCTTAGATGATCAAATTGAGATGATTGCCTTATTGATCATACACATACATATACATACCACACTCACACACATACACACTCATACACATACACACACATTCACATTCTCATACACATGCACTCATACATATATTCTGACACCCTCATATACTCACATACACCCATAACACTCATACACATTCACTCTCACCCATACACACACACTCCCATGCATACACTTACACACCCATACACACACATACCCATGCACACTCACACTCCCACTCCCATGCTTATACTCACACACCCATATGTACTCACACACGCCCATAACATACATTCACACTCATGTGCTCTTGTACAGATACACTCACACTCTTATACTCATATACACACCCATATATACTCACACACTTGCACACACATTCACACTCACACAGTTTCATACATTCACACTCACATTTACACACAATTTCATACACACACTCACATTCACACACGCACACTCTGTCTCTCTGTCTGTGTCTCTGTCTGTCTGTCTCTCTCTCACACACTCAACCCCTTGAGTGGTGTGTTTGTGCTAGCAGAGTGCATTGTACTGAGGTATGGGTCCGTGGGCCATGAAACCAAAGCCCCAGCACCTGCAGTCACACCCCAACAACTGCCTCCTCTGAATAAGTTCCACAGAGATGCCAAACTGCTGAAGATTTCAGGTACACCGGGTTTTTTGGCTGAAAACTCTGGACCTTCTTGGAGTGGGGGTGGGCGACCTTCCCCCCCTTGTCCCCATACTTCCAGAAGCCCCAGCAGCCACACCCACATTCTACACCACCGCCTGCAGACTCACAGTCCAGCCGCATATTCTGGATGGCAGCCGTGGAACATCTCTGAACTCTCTAACACTGACACCCCAGTCTGGGCACACCAGATGGGATGGGGTATGGCCTGGGGGCCTGATGAACAAACATGCACGCAAGGCTCAACAGACCCTCAAGCAATGGCTTAATGTCCCCATGATGAGAGATGACAAATTTTCTTCTATGGAAATCCTTTTTGATCATTCCATCGGTGGTCACAAACAATATAAAATAAATGACTGTGGGCTAGAGCGATAACACAGTGGGTAGGGTATTTGCCTTGCACGTGGTCGACCCAGGTTTGATCCTTCCACCCCTCTTGTAGAGCCCAGCAAGCTACCAAGAGTATCCCATCCACATGGCAGAGTCTGGCTAGATCCCTGTGGTGTATTCGATATGCCAAAAACAGTAAC